TTTGTGTTCTTTGTCAGAGAGGCAGTGTAGTATGGGGAAACAGAACAGGCTCTGTCTGCCCCTTCCTGAACTTTCTGACCCTCAATTTTCATGGCTGTAAAATAGAAAATAATCTCAAACCCTATAGGCTCACCTGAGAATTAGAAGCAATAGCTGTACTACTGACTTAGTTCAGTGCTTGGCAGCACATCACTGGCACTAAAAGAATGGTAGCATTCTTTTACCAGAATTCTTTTACTATAGTATATAGTTTCAAATAATTTTAGTCTTTGGGCTAGAACTAAAGTTATTTACTGCCTTTTTTTTTTGCGGTATGCGGGCCTCTCACTGTTGTGGCCTCTCCCGCTGCGGAGCACAGGCTCCGGACGCGCAGGCCCAGCAGCCTTGGCTCACGGGCCCAGCCGCTCCGCGGCATGTGGGATCCTCCCAGACTGGGGCATGAACCCATGTCCCCTGAATCGGCAGGTGGACTCTCAACCACTGCGCCACCAGGGAAGCCCTACTGCCTTTTTTAAGGTGAAAATTAGATACTAATCGAATACCTACGGTATGCATTTTAAGTCATTTTTTCCAGTAATGATGAGAGATTTTAGATTAGTCATTAGTCCTACCTGATGTTCTCTGTGAGAAAAATGGATGGCCCTGTAGGTCAGGAATATATTTTATGCCGACAGTTTGGGGTATTATCAATGATGAACAATTGGCTGAGTTAATATTGAGCCAGAATACCATTTCCAGAAAACATCTGACACATACATAGTAAAGCCTTAGTCAATCCTGGCATCACCTGGGAGCATGCTGTAATGCAAATTTTGAGGCCCATCCCCTGCATACAAAATTGGAATCTGCCATTTAACAAGATTCCCCGGTGATTCAAATGAACCTTAAACTGTGAGAAGCACTGGTAAGGAACAGGCTCTGAGCAGAGAAGATACAATCACCAGGTGTATATGTAACTCAGGCGGGACTCATAAAGAATCTAACTTATAATGACAGACTGGCATATGCATGTGTATAAACACACAACACGAACACAGGCTTAGATCAGTGGTTCTCAACTGGGGGTGATGCTGCACCCCCATAAGATACTGGCCAATGTCTGGAGATTTTTTGGTTGTCACAACTGGGGAGATGTTATGAGCATCTACTGAGACCAGAGATGCTGCTAAACATCTTACAAGGCCCTCCACCATAAAGAATCAGTTGGCCCAAAACGTCAATAGTGCTGACGTTGAAGAAACCCTAGCATAGATTATACAAACATATTAATTGGAAAAGGCACAAAGGCATACTAATTGGAACTATTCATGGGAAAAGGAGCAATAATTTGACCTCACAGTTCTGAGGGGAAGAATTTCATATCTGGACATCCCAAGGTCTATGCTGCTTTCAAGATTATGAGTACCCTGGTTAAAAGCTCTCAAAATCACTTATCTGCTGTTACTAGCAAAACCAGAGTCAATGATAATCTGTATTAGCATATAAAGTCAGTCAGCATCAATGCCTAGAGCCTGTTAATATGCAAAGAAAAATAATGGAGACAGAAAATCGTTACTGTTTGGTTTAAAACCCAATCCTACTGAAGAAGGAAGATGACTTAGGACCCTCAAACTCCACACCCTTCTTACCAAAAAGATACCAAGTCTATACCCTCATTGTACACGTCCACACCACAATCCCTTGTCTGCAATTTCAAAGATCTAAAAACTACATAAAGTTTTTGCTAAATTGTGGCAGCAAAACTTCTTATCTGAACTCATTTGGCAGCAAAACCTGAATGGATGTGAGGTTATTTATTATTTTAATTATCCCACTTAGTGTAACTATTCACATGGTTCACTATAGAAGTATTCAGAGGTTTGCTTATAGGAGGTGGTGCCACAGGCCTTACGGAAGCTGTTATGTAATATATGGTGGATGCTCCTTACTGCCCTTCTAAAATTTGAAAACTCTAGAATTTTGGAAACATTTGGCTTTGGAAATTCTAGGTAAGTGAATGTGGGCCTCACATAACTAAAATGCAGTCAACTCTCAGCAAATATTTGCTGAAAGCATTCAAATATATATTTGAAAGGAAAAAAATAACCTAGTCAACTATATGTGTGTATATACACATAAACACACACACTTGTATTATACACTCACATAAATATATATATATATCCCCGCATTAGTAGTTAGCATTGTGGCAATTAGCTTCCTTGTTTAGGGCACTGTGCACAACACGCCAGGCTTGCAGCTTCAAATCTTGTAAGACCAGCTAACTTTACAAAGAAACAGGTGTTTCTAGTCTTCAAGACTATAAATTAACCTCAAACTTTATCCTTCAAAATGCTTCTGGATATAAGGCAAGAAATAGTGAATGATTTAGGATCAACCCATTCACCATACCAGAAGTGCTGATTCCAATTCAGTAGCATAACCAGTGTCTCTTGTCTCTCTCTCTCATACATACATCACAACCCTGCAATGTGTAATAGCATTACAAGCACCCAACTGGCTCTGGAAAGGTTCCATCAGGGCCTCCCTACTATCCTGGATTCACATTGGTTGATGGTTGGGGGTATAACTCTTTCTGCATATAAATTCCTATTTTCCTCCCTGAAAGGCTTTACCTGACTAGCCTGTTGACTGTCCTAAGGTGTGCTCATGGGACTGGTCCAGGGGAATAGAAGGTTGTTAGGAAACAAGTAGTAACAAAATGCTGAGAGCAAGGGTATTCGAATTGTCAGTTTCATGTGTCTAACTGTGTAGGATGGGGCTTGGAAACAGATGGGGATACCAGCTGATTTTCAGAAACCATGAAAAAGATAAATGAACTTGCACCATGCTGAAAAAGATGTATCATGCTTGCTGCTGAAAACACTGAACACAATGGAAACTGAAGCATCTTCAAAATCTTTTTTGCCAGTTATGGCAATACTAAGATTCACTGATGACCATTCAATTTTAATGTTCTTTTCATTATACTTCAAACAGTCTTCCCTCCTTCGTATCCTAAGAAAACATACCTTCTTCTCATGAAAATGAAATAGCACATGGTATTATTTAATAAGTTGAAAAATCCTGAAAAGTTTTAGTGAAACTGTTCTCTAATAAAATTCTAAGAACTGTGATGTAGAGAGGGGAAAATATTTCGCTGCAGTACTGTTAAATACAATTCTAATGCTAAGGTGGGAGGAAGAAGCACTTTGCCAGTTTCTGTAACCACTTCACCACCAAAGCAGTTTCCCATGGACTCTGCCACTGGGTTGTGAAGTCACTACCTTTCAGGAGGGAGCCGCCGTGTTTCTCTTCTCAGGTTCCCATGTGTCTCAAATAGGGAGTGGGACAGAGCCAGAAGCCATGGGCAAGCCTCTTGCCAAGACTGTGGATGAGATCACCAACCACCCCACCCCGGCATCCAGACCAGCTTCTTCAGAATTTCACAGCCCACAGCCCTTGGGCCAGCCTGTCAGGTTCTCAAAACAGGAAAAACTAAAAGTGGATCCTCCCCATAAAAAAGTTCGAAAGTTCTTTCATTATACAATTATTTTAAACACGTTCCTCTTGTGTAGTGTAATTACAGAAGAGTGGATTAGAATCTCAAAAAGGACTCTTATTTCCAAGAAGAATACCCCAAGTTAACTTCCTTGTAAAATGTCCTCTCAAATCCTAAACAACTTTAAAAAGAAAGTTCTGTGGCAAGGAGTAAAGACATGCATTGGATAGTTAACTCATTCCTAGTAGAAAAGATATATTAAAATATTATGAATTCTCTATGCTTGATCAGAAAACAAATATTTATAACTTCTCATCCATGACAAGTCCTTTAGTTCAATTTTTCAGGGATTCCATCCTATTTTAGCTTCCGTATAACAATACTGCAAAGCTGTAATTACATCCTCTATAATCAGCCCATTACCAGTGTAATTAAGGAGTGCCACAAATTTAAAACTATGACCTCAATACTGAGGGAAAAAATGTGTGGAAGAGACAGTTTATATTGCAGGTAAAATGTTCTCCTGTTTTGTTGACAAACTTATTAAGACATAAAGAAAAAAAATGACATGTTATCATAGAGTCATCATTCAAGAGGGACTCATTATGTTCCTGATAAGAATTTTTCCTCCATCATTTCTAACATGTCACTTATCAAGCTCTTTTGTATCAAATCCCATGCTCTTCCCAAGTGTTATGAACACTCTAAACCCCTTTAGGTGCCTGTCAATTACTCTCATTCAACTACCATCCACTGTGGGGATACAGATATATGTGAATTGATTCCTGACACAATGTCAGGCTAGTGTAAACCAAATTTAAACTGGCAAATAGGTCCATCAGTAAAGTGCCTAACTTCTAAGCAATGTGAATAAATTTTATCTTAACTAAGAATCAGGAAGCTGATCACCAAACATTAATGTATCACATAATGGTTCAAGCCAACCATCTGATAAATATAATAATAATCACATTAATAAAATGGATCAACAACACTTATCAAATGCTTATTATGTGCGAGCACTGTGAGAATCTTAGACAAATTATCTCATTTAATTTTCACAGATGGCCCCTGAGATAATACAATTATTGCCTCCATTTTTCATAGAGGAAACTGAAGCCCTGGGGATGTTAAATAACTGCCCAGGTTAATTAGTTGGTAAGAGTAGGGCCAGTCTGGAAGCTTCCTCCAACTGAATCTCAAGCTTGTGTCTGTTTTTACAGCCTTCAGGCTACAATGTCTACTGATTATATGTTACATAAGCAATTTAAACCAAATATTCTTGCCCTCCTGTTGAACTGCAACTGTTACCAATCAGTGAGGGGTGGGAGGAAAGCAGGTAGTGAAAACAAAAAAAGCAAGACATCTGTTTAATCAAGATTCTCCTCCCCCATCAAATTCAGGAACTCCTTTCCATATACTGTATGAGTCGATACTGTCTTTCTAAATTACATAAATGTTTACTCACAGCTGACAAGTTACTAAAGTACAAAATAGAATGCGCTCTTGTATTTTTCAGATTAAAAAGGTTAATTGACCAAGAAACGGAGTCCCAGAAGAAGAAGGAGCAAGAAAAAGAGAAGAGGGTCACTGCCCTGAAAGAGGAGCTGACCAAACTGAAGTCTTTTGCTTTGATGGTGGTGGACGAACAACAAAGGCTGACGGCACAGCTTGCCCTTCAAAGACAGAAAATCCAAGACCTAACCACGAGTGCAAAGGAAACACATGCTAAACTAGCCCTTGCTGAAGCCAGAGTTCAGGAAGAAGAGCAGAAGGCAATCAGACTAGAGAACGATCTGCACACGCAGACCACAAAGTTTCACCAGAACCAAGAAACAATTATGGCGAAGCTCACCAATGAGGACAGCCAAAATCGCCAGCTTCGACAAAAGCTGGCAGCACTCAGCCGGCAAATTGATGAGTTAGAAGAGACAAATAGATCTTTACGAAAAGCAGAAGAGGAGCTGCAAGATATAAAAGAAAAAATTAACAAGGGAGAATATGGAAACTCCAGTATCATGGCTGAGGTGGAGGAGCTCAGGAAACGTGTGCTAGAAATGGAAGGGAAGGATGAAGAGCTCATAAAAATGGAGGAGCATTGCAGAGATCTCAATAAGAGGCTGGAAAAGGAAACATCACAGAGTAAAGACTTTAAAGTCGAGGTTGAAAAACTCAATAAAAGAATTATGGCTCTGGAAAAATTAGAAGATGCTTTCAACAAAAGCAAACAAGAATGTTACTCTCTGAAATGTAATTTAGAAAAAGAAAGGATGACCACAAAGCAGTTATCTCAGGAACTGGAGAGTTTAAAGATAAGGATCAAAGAGCTAGAAGCCATTGAAAGCCGGCTGGAGAAGACAGAATTCACCCTAAAAGAGGACTTAACTAAACTGAAAACATTAACTGTGATGCTGGTAGATGAACGGAAAACAATGAGTGAAAAATTAAAGCAAACTGAAGATAAGTTACAAGCTGCTGCTTCTCAGCTTCAAGTGGAGCAAAATAAAGTGACAATGGTTACTGAGAAGTTAATTGAAGAAACTAAAAGGGCACTGAAGTCCAAAACTGATGTGGAAGAAAAAATGTACAGTGTAACGAAAGAGAGAGATGATCTAAAAAACAAACTGAAAGCAGAAGAAGAGAAAGGAAATGATCTCCTGTCCAAAGTGAACATGTTGAAAAACAGGCTTCAATCATTGGAAGCAATTGAGAAAGATTTCTTAAAAAACAAATTAAATCAAGATTCTGGTAAGTCCACAATAGCATTACACCAAGAGAACAATAAGATTAAAGAGCTCTCTCAAGAAGTGGAAAGACTGAAACTGAAGTTAAAGGATATGAAATCCATTGAGGATGACCTCATGAAAACTGAAGATGAGTATGAGACTCTAGAACGAAGGTATGCTAATGAACGAGACAAAGCTCAATTTTTATCTGAAGAGCTGGAACATGTTAAAATGGAACTTGCCAAACACAAGTTAGCAGAAAAGACAGACTCCAGTCATGAACAATGGCTTTTCAAAAGGCTTCAGGAAGAAGAAGCTAAATCAGGTCACCTCTCAAGAGAAGTGGATGCACTGAAGGAGAAAATTCATGAATACATGGCAACTGAGGACCTGATATGTCTCCTCCAGGGAGATCATTCAGTTCTGCAAAAGAAACTCAGTCAACAAGAAAACAGGAACAGAGATTTAGGAAGAGAGATTGAAAACCTCACTAAAGAGTTAGAGCGGTACCGTCATTTCAGTAAGAGCCTCCGGCCCAGTCTCAATGGAAGAAGAATCTCTGACCCTCAAGTATTTTCTAAAGAAGTTCAAACAGAAGCAGTAGACAATGAGCCACCTGATTACAAGAGTCTCATTCCTCTGGAACGAGCAGTCATCAATGGTCAGTTATATGAGGAGAGTGAGGACCAGAATGAGGACCCTAATGATGAGGAGTCCGTGCTGTCCTTCAAATGCAACTCATCTACTCCCTGTCCTGTTAACAGGAAGCTATGGATTCCTTGGATGAAGTCCAAGGAGGGCCATCCTCAGAATGGAAAAATACAAACTAAACCCAATGGCAACTTCGTGCAACCTGGAGATCTAGTCCTAAGCCACACACCTGGGCAGCCACTGCATATAAAGGTTACTCCAGACCATGTCCAAAACACAGCCACTCTTGAAATCACAAGTCCGACCACAGAGAGTCCTCACTCTTACACAAGCACTGCAGTGATACCAAACTGTGGCACCCCAAAGCAAAGGATAACCATCCTCCAAAATGCCTCCATAACTCCAGTGAAATCAAAAACCTCTGCTGAAGGCCTTATGAATTTAGAGCAAGGCATGTCCCCAATTACCATGGCAACCTTTGCCAGGGCAAAGACCCCAGAGTCTTGTGGTTCCATAACTCCAGAAAGGACAATGTCACCTATTCAGGTTTTGGCTGTTACTGGTTCAGCTAGCTCCCCTGAGCAGGGACGCTCTCCAGAGCCGATAGAAATCAGTGCCAAGCACGCGATTTTCAGAGTCTCCCCTGATCGGCAGTCATCATGGCAGTTTCAGCGTTCAAACAGTAACAGTTCAAGTGTGATAACTACTGAGGATAATAAAATCCACATTCACTTAGGAAGTCCTTACATGCAAGCCGTAGCTAGCTCCGTGAGACCTGCCAGCCCTTCAGCATCACTGCAGGATAACCGAACTCAAAGCTTAACTAATGGGGCACTAAACAAAACAACCAATAAAGTCACCAGCAGTATTACTATCACACCAACAGCCACACCTCTTCCTCGACAATCACAAATTACAGTAAGTAATATATATAACTGACCACCCTCCCTTATTTGGTTTATACCGATATTATTGCAAGGAACTCAGTCCTTTTTAATTATCCCTCCACATCCCTCAAAAGACTGACTGAACTTGTACTTTGGGAAGGTTTATGCATGAACTGTCCAAGAGTATCTGAAACTAACTGTTGCCTGCATAGTCATATCAAGCGTGCACTTACTGTATATTTTTTCATTTACATACCTGTATGGAAAATATTTAGTCTGCACTTGTATAAATACATCTTTATGTATTTCATTTTCCATAACTCACATTAATTTGACTGCAACTTGTCTTGGTGAAATACTTTAACATTATAAAGCAGTAAATAATTTGTTATTTTTACCATTGCTTGCTGAATTTTCTTTTGGTCATTTTGTGTTCTTTTTTTTGCATGTATAATAGAATTTTATTTCCTGTTCATAATGTCTATTAATTCTTCCTTAAAAACAAACAGGACCTACTTCCCCTATACAGTCAACTTCTGATCACATATTAGAGGAGGAGGAGGAAGTAGTTGAAATAAATGAAATTTTATGGCTCTTTGATTTCAAAGTGAACTATAAGATCTCTCAGGAGCAAACTTCATTCTTGAGATGTATCTCAATATCCCTGGCGCCCAGCACGGTGCTTAGCACGTGTTAGGAATTTAGTTACTTAATAAATGTTTACTGATAATCACTGAATAAAATAATATTAAATAATCTGCTTTTGTGAGCACATATGAGCTGATGGTGAAAGTAAAAAGCTTTGAAATGTGACAGTAAGCCAGAAAAAGCACATTTGGAAATACAAGTTACCTTCACAATCAAGAGTTGACTCTATTTCTACCATAGATGAAAATCCCCTTAAAACATTTATGTCTACATCCAAACCTGGAATCAGCCACTAAGACATATGCTCTTGAACACTGCTTCAAAGCAAAAATGTCTTTCTTGTTACTTTTTCCTAGTAGGTTCCCAAAATAATTTTAATTACTTAAGGTAGGTGCTTCCTACCTTGTTTGTTTGCTAGTGGGCTGCATTCAGAAGCTTAAACTTAACTGTGTGTGTGTCTGTGTGTTTTAACCTCCCAACAAGCAAATAAAAACCAAAGATAATTACAATGTAAGTTATAGAAAAGGCATATTAAAAAAAAAATACAGTATGTTAGTTGAGGGAAGTTTCTCCTGTGATTATTGTTATGCCATTTTCAAGATAGCTGAGAAAAACTCAGTAATCCTTAAAAAAAAAAAAGCATCCTAGGAATTCTGATACTCTGCTAATGGGACTCAGCATAATTTGTACTTCTGTAGCAGAGAACAGCTTTCAGAGGAACATTTTAAATTACAAATCTGGTCCCCAAGCCACATTCAAAAAAGATGATTTCAGACAAAGTAGCTCATTGCCATTTTCCCTTTTCCAACCTCATAACTGTTAATTTAGTGTGGTCAATTTTATTGCCAGTTATTGATTTTAAACACAATTCATTTAGACACCCAGGCAAACCGTGAAGATCTTTAGGAGCAAAAGGAATCTTTCACAATTATCCTCCTTTCCCTGCAAAATCAATTTCATGATAGCAAAGCAAGGATTTGTTGACAGAAACACTTCCATGGTGATGAACTGCAACACCAACGCTGTGGGCTTGCATCATCATTAAATAAATTTGGATGAAAGCTGAGGCTAGTGATGAATGAGAAAGCTTCTGTTTAAACATATTTATCTTGGGAATTGGCAGTGACCCAACTGTATTACAAAATACATGATGGTCTAAATGTTTTCCAAAATTGTTTTTATTTTTAAGTCACCTTGGGTTAGAACTTTAGAAGAAACTACATACATCATTTTACATCTATCAAAGTAGACACTGATAACATTGCTGCATGAGATGTCTTTCTAGATAATAAGAGAGTACATATAATGTTTTGGTGGGTAGTGATCAACTAATCATGAAATAATAAACAGAAACCAGAAAGAATTAAAGGATAAAGTTTTCCCAGCACTTCCCCACTTTTGTCACATAATGACACAAACAGAAAACACACTGGATACAATGGATAAAGAGGCAGAGATGATCAGGGACTCCTGATCAGGGACTCCTATCATCCTCAGGTTGCTCCTGTCTGCCCCAAGTACTGAGGGAAAGGATCCATTTTTGGCACACCTGTAACTAATAGAGTTTGAGAGGCTCTGGGCTATTCATTAGAACTGTTTTGTAAGGATTCAATTTCTTATCTTTTGTGAGCCAGAGCAATTTTATACAATAAAGTTAATACCACAAGTCCTGTGCTCCATGATTAGGATGCACAAATTCTCATTTCATCATCTGCTCCAGATACTAACTATAAATAGGCTTCCCAAGTAATTAACATTATTGGAAATTTACTGGACTTTCAAGGAATTGAACCTCTTTTAGAGGCTCCTCTACTAGGACTACTTCAGTGTAATGACTCATCCACATCAAAATTTAGGAACACTGTCATATTAATAACATATATAGATTACTAAAAGTGCTACTAATTAAAGTTTATGGTAAAGAGAGCATCATCTCTGAAAAAAGTACCTTCCCTTTTCCATAAAATCACACAAAGAATGACACATCCTAGATTTTTGGCCTTTAATTTCAAAAATAATTTTTTATAACTCTGCGTGTGTGCGCGCACACGTGCATGTGTGTTTGGGAGGTTACAGAATTTTCTTTTTCATTCACATAAAATCACGGAAGAACCCTGAAAACTAGGAAGGAGAGAGGAAGTGACACTGGAAAATCTTCATATGAGATATGTGAAAGTGGAGGGTTGTATTCCTGAAGAAAAGAAAGCCTTTGAGAGGTTCACAGAAAACAAGACTGTTTCTATAAACATCTGAAAAAATACCTTCCTTTCATTTCATTTCATCTGAAGTCCCAGCTTCAGAACCAAGATTCATTTTACTCAGTCCCCCTATCCCTTTAACTTTTTGAGCTGCAGCGTTCTATCACAGATTTGAATGATTTTACCACATTCTTCTTCCCTTTTAAGAGCATTTGCAAAGCTTTCCCAAGGATGCCACTGCTCTCTGGGTCACCCCTTCCAGAAGGACAATGTGCATTACTATAGTTGGATCTTTACACACAAAGGAAACTCTCTATAAGATGATGACAGGATTATATAAACTCTACCTAGAAGGTTTCTACAACTACATTTCACAATGCCAAGACATTAGGCATGGGGTCTTCATGACACCCAAAATATAAATTAAGTTGCACTGTGAGATGGCCATAAAAGGGGTATTTAATTTAAAATTCTTAGACTTGTAGCCTAAGCATTCTGTGATCTTTATTGACTAAAATATAACTCCACACAAAAACATATTTTTAATAGCTTTTTTGATTCCAATTCTTTACGAAGTGAGTCTCCTTTGAAACTTGTTAGACAAAGGCAGGAAAAGAGCTTTAATAACACTACAGTTTCCCTTCATTTTGGTTTCTGTTATTGAGATGGCCATAAAAGGGGTATTTAATTTAAAATTCTTAGACTTGTAGCCTAAGCATTCTGTGATCTTTATTGACTAAAATATAACTCCACACAAAAACATATTTTTAATAGCTTTTTTGATTCCAATTCTTTACGAAGTGAGTCTCCTTTGAAACTTGTTAGACAAAGGCAGGAAAAGAGCTTTAATAACACTACAGATTCCCTACATTTTGGTTTCTGTTATTGTTTCCTCCTCCAAAATAATCATTTTACTTTGCAATCCTAAGAGAAAAGATAATCAGGCAATAATGCATGCCCGAAACTTTAGGATCAATGTTTCTCAAAGTAAAATCCAAAACACATGTATGAGAATCCCCTGATGCCCCACCCAGAGCTATCAAAAGTCACAATCTCTGAGGGTAGGGCCCTGGAAGCTGCATTTTTTAACAAGTTCCTCTGCTGATTAGTACGTACCTAAAGAAGGAATTCCATTGTTTTAGAAATTTCTATACTGATAAACACTAGCAAATATGTTCTGACTCTAGTCTTGCTCTATCAGAATGAATTACACCTGTCTCAGGAAGTGTACCTATTCCACCCTCTAGTGGCTAGCATGACAAACAGAAGGCTTAGTCTCCAGGTTTTCTTTTTTTATTCAAGAGAAAAGCTCAATAAAAACTACTATTTTATAGGTGGGAAGGTTCCCAGTTTTATAACTGTAGCAAAGCATAGATGCCTGAATAATTAACTGAGCAGTAGCAGGCTGTCTGACACCTACAAGGTCTGTTTCTCCCTCAGATCCCAGGCCCTCAACATAACCCTACAGCATTTCTTGGGAATGGTCCAGAACACACATTAAAGAGAGCAGTTTGGATGAGCCAAAACAAAGGACTCCATTCACCTTGGGCCACAGTGAAGCAAATGCAAGAACAAGGAAGATAAGCGGTTCAATAAAATCCCCAAACCTTAAACCCCCTTAAAATTCATTTTCACTTAAACTCCTTTCCTTTCCAACAGATGGATTCTTCCACTGTGCAGTCAAATGTCAGAGCAGGCAGCCCCCAAAGGCAACGCCGTAGGGTAAGGAATCCTTAGGGAGTCCAGCAAGTTAACTGGCCAACACACTCCTAAGTACTTTATAATTTGATATATGAATTATAATTTGATAATGAATTAACACTGTTCATATGGTAACACATACAAATCTGTCAATATTCTATCAGGACACCAGGTTTTACAACACTTAGAATGGTGCCATAAAAATGTAATCTGGGCTAACCTTTAGCACTGCAGTCAGCAATCCTAGAGATAATCCTCTTGTGGCCTCATTTTAAAATTTCACTTATTTTTTCACAAAATTATTGGTCAAGAGAAATAAAAGTTATCTAATTATTTGAGGTAATTTTTTGAAAGCCTGAAATTAGTTTTATTTTAGTGAGTTCCTTTTTCCTGCATAGCCAAATGGTTCTGTATGATATTTTTGTAAGGTTACCTGAAAGAAACCTTTTTTTTTTTTTTTTTTTGCCTATTAGTTTAGTTTTGC